TGGGGGGATGGCCATGCCACAGTCCCTTCCCCTCCATTCTCCTCCTGGGATTCTGGGCATGCACATAAACACGCCGGGCATGATTTTCAAGCCTCTGGGTCCGGGACCTGGACCTGAACTGCTGTTAGTCATGTAGGGGTCCAGAGCCATAATTACTATGCCACTTGCTGGCCCCATTTCCTTTCTTTTCTTTCCTTTTTTCTTTTTAAGGGTTTTGCCATAGGGTACATGATTTTGCTAGAGAGACAGAAAGAGGGAAAGTGAGAAATCACCCCCAGCGTGGATGACCCATTACAATCCCCTTTCCTCCATTCTCCTCTCAGGATTTTGGGCATGCTCACACTCACTCCCAGTGTGGTTTTCAAGCCCCCAGTTCTGGCCATGTGGGAGCCCAGCACCTTAACCACCATGCCACTGGCTGGCCCCACACATGGATTTTTTCGTTGTTGTTGATGGATTTCAGCTCTCCCAGACAGTAGAAAAATTGCCCACTGTGCTTCAGATTTTTGATGCAAAGACCTTCATGTTACCTATGTTACCAACAGTGGGCTCTTGAACATGCAATCTTTTTTTAAAAACAATGATTTTATTTAACTTTATTTATTCATTTACTTATTTTTTATTTGACCAGAGAGGGAGGGAGGGAGGGAGGGAGAGGGAGAGAGAGAGAGAAGAGGAGAGAGAAGAGAGAGAGAGAGAAAGCTGCCAGGTCCAGGACTCAAACTGCAGCTGACCATGTGGGAGTCGAGCTCCTTTAACTACCATGCCACCTGCCAGCCCCTTGAACATGTGATCTTAAAACTCCAGTAATATTGTTGGAGTGTAAACATCAATCTTTTTTTCTTTATTTTAATTTGCCAGGCAGTTTGAGGGCTTGCCAGAAAGAGACAGAGAAGACAAGGGAAAAAGTACCCTCCAGTGAGGCACATCCATGCCACACTCCCATCTCCATTTCACCAACCTTGTTGGGGTTTTGGGCATGCACACACATGTGCCTGGCATATTTTTCCTAAATCGCTGGGTCTGGGACTCAAACCATGTGGTCAACCATGTGAAATTTGGCTCTCTTAACCACCAGACCACAAGCTTAGTTATTAAAAATATCTCTCCAATCTTATAATAAGTATTAAAAATGTCTTGCCCTGAAATTGGCATCCTTTCCTTTTTTTCTTCCTTCCTTCCTCTCTCTCTCTTTTTCTTTCTTTCTTTCTTCTTCTTTTTTTCTCTCTTGAGAGATTTTTGCTATGCGGCATGTGTATTCGCCAGAGAAGCGGAGAGTGACAGAGAGACAGAAAGTGAGAAATCATTCCCCGGGGGGGGGGGGATGGCCACACTGCAAACCCTTCTCCTCCATTCTCCTCTCAAAATGTTCGGTATGCACGCACACATACTTGGTGTGAGTTTCAAGCTGCCAGGTCCAAGACTTGGACCTTAGTCAGCCACATGGGAGTCCAGTGCTATAATCCATAAGCCACCTGCTGCCCTGGCATTATTTTCTAAAGAGCAATGCTAGGTAGAAAGAAATTCAAAAACACTCTGACTTGTGAATTTTTTCAATAACAGTTCCCTGTAGATTGTAATTACTTCCTGTCTTCCAAAACCTAGACTCTGCAGAAGAGAGCAGAAATACTTATTATTGACCTGAATTAGGATAAAAAGGAAAGAGAAGATAAGATCATAGCTGTTGGTACTTTATGAAGACATCATTCTGAGGATATGCTTGAATCAGACAAAAATAATGCATCTCCCTTCTTCTCCAACACTTTTCTTTCTTTCTTTCTTTTTATTTTTAGGGAGCGATTTTTGCTATAGGGCGCATCCTCGCTGAAGAGACAAAGAGAGACAGAGAGACAGACAGCAAGAAATCATCCCCCTGGGGGGGATGGCCATGATGCAATCCCTTCTCCTCCATTCTGCTCTCGGGATTGTGGGCATGCACACACACATGCCCAGTGTGAGTTCTAAGCCATCAGGTTTGGGACTTGAACCGTGGTCAACTACATAGAAGTCTAGTGATGTAACCATTATGACATTCACTGGTCCCCTTTCCTAGCACATTTTAAAATGCCAACCTGGCTGACAAAAACAACAATACCCAGAGTTACGGCATTATCTGTCTGGTATGCTAGCGTAACCCATAAGAACATCATTCAATCATTATTATTATTATTTTTTAGCTAGTCTAGAAACGTGGAGAAAAATTTTTTAAAAATGTAAAAATAAACAAAAATGTGTTTTTTTAAAAAAAAGTTAACATTTTACTTTGAAATAGGTTATGCCTCATAAGAAGTTATAAAAATAATTCAGGGAGGCCAGCAGGTGGCATGGTGGTTAAGACAGTGGACTCCCACATGGCCAACTGCAGTTTGAGTCCCAGACTTGACGGCTTGCTTTCTCACTTTCTCTCTCTATGTATCTCTCTTGAGCACACATGTCTTATAGGAAATTAAAAAATAATAATGATAAATAAAATATGAAAAAATTTAGAAGAATTCTTTGTATTTTATACCGAGTTCTCTCCAAAGATAGCATTTCACATAACCAGAGTACAGTGTCCAAGAGAAAATTTTAGTATTGTTAATTCAGAGACTTATTTGGACTTCACTAGTTGTTTTCTTTCTTTTTTTGTCTTTTTCTTTTTTTTTTTTCCCATAGAGCATGTGTGCTCACAGGAGAGAGACAGAGAGAGGGAAAGTGAGAAATTACTCCCTAAGGGGGATGGCCATGCCACAATCCCTTCTCCATTCTCCTCTTTAGGATTTTGAGCACACATGCACACGTGCCTGGCATGATTTTCAAGCCAGCAGGTCTGGGACTCGAACTGTAGATGGCCATGTGGAAGTCCAGGACCTTAACCACTATGTCACCTCTATCTCTCAGATTCACTAGTTTTTTTATGCCCTCTTTTTTGGGTGTATGTTAATATTTAGAAATGCATAAAACACCAATGTTTAAGGGAACATCTCTCACCAACGAATATTGATGATAAGCAAGATTCGCAGACGACGTGGTTTTTATGCATCTTGCAGTTGACTAAAGGGGAGCTTGAGCTGGTCGCATCAGTGAACTCTATACTTATCCTCTATACTGCAATGCTTTAATCTTCCAGTAATGAAGTAATCTATCAATCAATCCTGTCTCAAGTGCTAAGTAAAAGCCAGCCTCTGATAACCTGGAGATGCCAAGATGGAGACATAGATTCTGCTTTCAAAGAACTCACAGGGGGAGATGGAAAAAGTTAACGATGACAACTTAAGAGTACTGCACAACATGGCACAAATGACACAAACCAACACTACTGCCTACTTACAAGTGCTTCATTCACACTGTAGCGGATATTAGGGAAAAGATGGTGAAGTAAATGCATGTTTTTCTTGTTCTGTAGCGTTTACTGTTGAGTGGAGGAGACGAGACTATTACCAAGCCATGGCACCTGCAAGTTCTCACAAGAGACTGCAGTGCTGAATGGGTAGACCCCCAACCAGATTGAGGGGTGTAGAGCAGTGACTCAGGACCATGTCATGTAGTTAATATCAGCCTCTAAAGATGGGAGGAATTGTGGAGTCTTTAGACCAAGTTCCTCCTCCTTTCAGCACCTTCCAAGCTCTGTAGAATTTGAGCAGGTAGGCTTGTTGTTACAGGAACAGTCGAATTTCTTAGAACTGATTCGAAGACTCTTTGGTATCATCACTGACATCAGATCTCACTCCACTCAAG